TAGGGTCACTCTGAGTGGACATTGGCTCAATGGCTGTGAGACTTTGCAGAAGCAAATCTGCCACTTCTTTCCGCTATGGAGACAGTAGTGGTTCAATCTCTAGACCGTTCTGTTTGCAGCCAAGAGTTTTACCACGGCACCACCAGGGCTCCCTTCTCTCATTGGGGGAACATAACCTTCTCCTCATAGCATAATAGGTAGCAAGGTCAGCAGTTCAAAAGCACCCGCCACTTTGAGGTAGAAAGATGAGGCTTTCTATTCCTGTAAACGGTTACACTCTGCTGCGAGACTCACAGAGGCAGTCCCACCCATTTCCTGTAGGATTACTCTGCGTGGGAACTGCCTCCATGGCAGGGGGTTGGCTTTGAGTTTAAGTTACTTCTTGGGAAGGACAAAGAGCAAGAGAAAAGATTCCGAACCACCAGGAGAACTCGCAGGAGCTGTGGGAAGGGGCTCATGGGAAAGGCTTCCAGCCCCAGCTGAGGAGCCAGAAAGAGAGATCTCTTTCTGAGCTAAGTTTACAAAAACAAGAGTTTAAAGAAACAGAAGAAAGACATTTGTTTACAGGGAGTAGCATGTGTAAAGGTGAGAGATGGAATCGGGAAGGCGAGAAGTGGGGGGCCAGAGGATGATGCCTTCACCTCTAAACACCCTCAATTCACACAAAGGAGTTGTTTGTTGAGTGCTTTTTTAAAAAAAAAGTATTAAACTAATGAAATGCTTCAAATAAGAGTACAAAATGATCCAATTTGCAACTTAAAATATTTAAGCTCGAGAGGTGTGGAATTAAAATTTGGCAGTACTCAAAAAAAGAGAGAGCCCTCAAGGAGATGGATTGACAGCGCTGCAGCGATGGGCCGACGCATCAGCACAATCGTGAGCAATGCGTAGGACTGGGCAGCGTTTTGTTCCCTTGTGGACAGGGTTGCTATGGGTCAGAATCAACTCAGTAACACCTAGCAACCACAGAGAAAATAGACAAGACTAGGGGAGACAAAGACAGGAGGCCAAGACAAAGGTTGAATGCACATTAAAAAACGACTCAGTGTGGTGCACTGGGCAGAGCCTGGGTGGGTGCCAGGAGCCGATGGCAGTGGAGGACCCTGAGAATCTTGCCTGGCAGGCGGGTAAGACTGTGTGCAGACAGCTGCCATCGCCATGGCCCATTACTCACGACATCCACGTTTGGTTCTCTAAGGAGTAGCAGATAGCCCCTTTGTTTTGAAAAACCGTTATTATAGAATGGTCAAGTGTATGTCAAAGTAGAGGGGATATCGTGGTATACACCATCATGCATCATCCAGCATCAACAGCTATTAACTTATCATCAGGATTGCCTGATCTGTATTCTACCCTGGTTACCTTACCACACCTGGGTGGTGTTGAAGAGATGACAGCCATTGTATCATTTCATCTGCTAAGTGCACTTAGGAACTTCCTAGAGAAGACTTTTAAAGCATGTAACTCAATAATTTCACCTTTTAAAATAATGATCATTACTATTACTATCACTGAAGATAGACACAGTGTTGACATTTCTCTCATTTCCAGTTATCTTAAGGAGCTTCCAAAAGTTCGTGGAAATTTTTCATTATCTTTTCATTCCATTATTCAATAAAATTTTTGAAGTGTGTGTGTGTGTGTGTGTGTGTGTGTGTGTGTCCCCTAAGAGTGTGTTTGTTTGAACAGCATATTGAATTAAAAAGCTCTTGTTCCCTTAAGGTCTCTGCAGTGCCCAAGCTACGGAATGCCCTGTTTCACAAAGCAGATCATGAGCATTGAGAGGCATGATTGTCTTCAAAGTCATTATTAGAAGGCATAATAAGAATAACTTCTTTATGGAATTCTTTATGCAGAAGGAGTCCTTGCGTGGTGCAGACAGGAAGCACACTTAGCTACTAAGCTAAAAGGCTGGAGGGTTGACTCCATCCAGAGGCACCTCACCAGTAAAGCCTGGCAATGACTTCCAAAGAAATCAGCCACGGGAAACCTTCGGAGCACCTTGAACGGTGGCCTACGTGTCCCATTCTCACTTGGGCTTTGGCAAACACCTGTCGAGGAAATCAGGAGCTTGCTTCCATTTCTGTCACTCTAAACAACTTTACTTCCACCGGTTCCTCCTCAGTATGGTACAGGGATGTCTCTTAGGGAAAATACTGACGACCCTGACCGAGAAAATGATGACGCCTGTGCTATCAAAAGCCTCTGACTACCCTAACATTTGCATCCAGGTACAGGCCGCCACCCGGACCCAAAACCCACTGCACAGAGTCGATTCCCACCCTGTGCAGGGCTTCCGAGGCCGTAGCTCTTGATGGGAGCGGACGGCTGCATCTCTCTCCCACAGACTGGCTGTTGGGTTTGGACCACTGAGCTTGCAGTGAGCAGTCCAGTGCTTACCTGTGAGCAACCCCAGTGGGACCACAGATGGCTAATGTTAAAGGTCCCTGTATGAGGCCTCCTGAAGCCTACAGTGCTGTACCTGTGCACTCAGTCTCAGGGATTATTCAGTCCTCTCTGACACAGGTGCAGAATCAACCCTAAAGTACACAGGAAGCTCACTCCAGTTGTCTAAGGAGTGAACTGACTAGGACCCAAGTCTCCCCCTTGTGCAGGTGAGTGGGACTATACTCGAACTCAGCTTCCGGGGAGCCCAGTGGTGGTTTCCATCTGGACAAAAGAATCTCAACCTCCTCAATCCCCAAGGTCTATGGGTGCTTGGCAACAAGCATTCCCAGACAATGCCCACAGAGAGCTGATCACATTATGAATGCCGGCTGCCCAGTGACAAGGCTGTGCTCATGCTTGCCTTGTATGGGAGAACAGTGACAGGGTCACAGTCCTTCCATGGGCATATGCACACAGCCGAATGACCAGCAGAATGCAGTGGCTGATCTTTATGCTAGAGCATACTTTATACTTTACTCACCAGAACCATTATCCATGGTTTTATCCTGAACATCACGGGCGGTGCAGACAGGAAACCACATATTGTTTATCTATCAAGAAGCCAGACTCACTGCCAGCCAGTCCGTTCTTACTCCTAATCTCCATATGTTTATGGCCAAGCCAACTCCAGAGAGCGATGATTTTTAATAGTATAGAATATTTTACACCATTGCCAGCTGCCCATTTCTGATACTTCTGGCAGTGGCGCCGAGCAGCCAATTCATCTCCAGACTGGTGACCCTCAGTGAGAGTCAGATCATCCAAGAGATACCGAAGGCTTGATCTGAAGGTTTCTCAGACGCCAACTCAAGTCTAATGTTAGTCACGGTGTTTACCGTCTAAGACGTGGACGTAAGCAGTGGCAATGTGTGCTGGGCTTTCTCTGGTTCCCAGTGCCTGGAGCTTATTAGGAGTAAAGTCTTCCAGAAGGAGGGACCCTAAGTACATTCCAGAACCGCCACTCTGTAAAGTAGGGGCTGGCAAGAGTGGACACACCACTTTCCACATTATTCTTGAGACCTTCCATTTTACATTCACAGTAATTCTTCGCTGCTCACAGATAATTGAATTGTCAACTCAAGTGTTTCTTCTCCTTATTTTAGGGCTTCCTGTCGCAAATGAACAGCTGCTCGTTGCAGAACTGTGCCTGTGTTAATGCTTCGCTGTGATGCAGTCTGACTGTCAAAGTTGACTGTTTTGTTAAAGTGGCTAGTGGACCATTTCATTGTATCCTTAGGTACCGAAATGAAATCGCTCCATAACCATTCACCGCTTCCAGTCCTAGGGAATAAAACAAGAAATGCTGAAGAACTTTATGCATCTTATAAGCAAACAAAACCCTTTTAGCTCTGAGGCTGCTTCCTATTCATAATCCTGATACAATCAACCCACCACCGGGTTGAAACCTCCCAGGAGAGCAGTCTTTGGGGCCCGTGCTGTAGGCAGAACACACCTACAAAACGTCTTCCCTCACTCTGATGTTCTATAACTGACGTTAGCTCATGACTATGTGGCAGCCTGGCTTACACTCCTGAGCCATAGCTGACCACAGCTCTTCATTTCAAGAGCAGAGAAAGAGATTTTCTTATTTAATACCCATTTGCTCATCATCAGGACTCACTGGTTAGGTGGAATGATGAGCAAGGAAGAAGCCCCACTTTACCAACTCTGTGATATCATTTGCTCTAACTCAGAGCAAAGTGAGCTCTTCGGTATTACAAGTTAGTTTACTGGTCTGCCGACAGATGAATGGATAAACAAGATGCGGTACTGAAGCGATGCACGATGGAATACTACTCAGCCGTGAACAGGCACTAAGCATTGATAGGTGCCGCAACCTGGATGCACCTGGAAGCCATTGAGTGAAATAAGTCAGCCATTAAAGGGCATATACTGTCCGATCTCACTTATGTGAGACAGGCAAATGTATAGAAGCTAAAGCTAATTCATGATTATGGGAGGACAAAGGGAGTTGGGGGAGAGGAAGGGACTGTTTGTGGGGCACTGGTTTCATGAATGGAATAGTGACATGGTTGTCCAACCTGAAGATCTTAATCCTTATGCATGTAAAAATTGTTGAATTGGTGAATGTTTCCTTATGTAGATGCCACACACACACACAGCTTGTAAAACCCAGAACAGAAATTGTGTAACCAGTCGCTTCATTGTCATTGAGCAACTCTTTCTTCTGACCTGCTTAGCCATGTCTTCATTCAGTTACTTTTTGTTCACCTACCGTGCCCTTGGTAAGCGCAATGCTAGGTACAGGAACATGGTCTAAAGGGCCCACCGCACCAGTTGGAGGGGTCACTTACAGACTCACAGCATATATCCGTTTCACTGGCCCTGCTCTGCTGCTGACTGCCTCTCTGTATTAGAATGTGATATCCCATTAAGGAAACGTTACTTCCCCCCCAATAATTGTTTTCTGAGGCAATACTTTGATGATGCCCTTTTGAATTGCCTGTTTGATGTATGAATGTGTGTCTTCTTGCTTTGCCTTTTTTTCTCTCTCAAAGAAACCAATGATGACTCCTTGGCATTTATTGCAGATGAGCAAGAAAGTTCCGGCGCGATTATTTACACCGTGGAGCTTAAGCGCTATGGGGGCCCCCTGGGCATCACAATTTCAGGAACTGAAGAGCCATTTGATCCCATAATCATTTCAAGCCTCACCAAAGGGGGATTAGCTGAAAGGTAAAATGTGAAGGAACTGTTGCAATGACCTGTGTCTATGCCCATCTCCCTGCCTCGCAGCCCTGGGAAACAGTGCTGTCCTCTCCTGCCTGGTTGTCAGTTGACTTTCTCAAATCTGCGCAAAAGATTGATTTGAGAACCCGAAAACTCTCAGGCAGACAGAACTTTGACCTGACTCCAAGGGCACGTCTTCAGGCAGTCAAAAGATGTCACAAGCAGAGACTTGGTAGTACTCTCCAGAAATGTATAAGCTGACCACAGCAACTGGAGATAGATTTATATGGTGTCCATTTGGAGTGGGGGAAACTAAAGTTCAGGGAGGTTAAAAGGCTTGTCTGATTCAATTCAGCAAACATTTAGGGACCCTCTGTTACCTGACAGTACTGCGCTTGCGCTTGGCTACTGTGTTTTCAGGAATGAGGATGACACAAGCTTTGTCTTCAAAGGTTTCAGGAAACAAAGTGTTAATGATCCATCTGAATGGAGTTTTATAATTTGGAATGTTCATTCGGCCGTTGGGCCATGATGGACCACCCTCCACCATTGCTAGGTTGTCCTTCAACTACTTAGCATGATACATCCTTCATGTGGACTTGGGAACAAAAAGGATTGCAAACAGAGACCTAGAATCACAGGATTGTGGAATGGAAGGTTTCTTAGAAAACAGCATGTAGTCTAACATCTATCTGCCAGATCAAAAGACCAGGGCCATGCAAAGGGTTACCCTGTGGCGTTTTAATATTTACTATGAGCAGAAGGACCTATGGTGGGGAGTTCTTCAGGCTTCAACCTCAATTCCAGCGCTAGCCTAGGTATCTTTATTAGACCACAAGGAAGAGATGCCTATTGATCGGACTCCACAACGTACACAATTAAAGTAACTTCATAAAATTGAGATTCTCTAGAAAGGAATGAAAAGATCGTCTCTCTTCATCTTCCCCAGAAAACATCAAAGTTTGAGAGAGGACGCATTGGTGGGCTTGTTAAGCAGCAGCTCATAGCCTGTGTGCCTCTGTGTCACCGCTGATGTCCCAGTGGCTGCTGCCCAGCACAGCTGCCCCTGAAGCAATCTGTGGTCAGCACGGGGCGTCAGGAGCAGGGCTTTAAGCTCATTCCTCTGCCCATTGTACCAACTCTGCAGCCTTCAACCCAACTGTAACTAGCTGGGGTTTTCTTACCCCTGAGCTTTTCTGCAATGATTCTGCTCCTTCCCCATCTGGAGCCGCCAAAGATAAATGTGGTGAACATCTAAACTCAGGGGAGAAAAACTCACTGCCATCAAGTCAATTCCGACTTGACACCCCTACAGGACAGAGGGGAACTCCACCCATTGGGTTCCCCAGATGGTCATGTTACCGGAACAAAAAGCCTCCTATTCTGCCCAAGAGCAGCTAGTAGATTGGAATTACTGACCTTGAAGTTAGCAGCCTAACCTCTTAGCCACTAGATCACCAGGGCTCAGAACTATTTGCCAACCTTCTAGTTCAGAATAGGCATGAGAGGTGGAATGGAAAGCAAAGAGAAATGCCCAGCCCATCAATAAATTATTTTTCTTTTTTCATGTTCCAAGCCATGCACCGACTATTTTCCTATTTAATCTTCCTGGCCGCCCTTTGAGACGGTTAACCCCACTGATAGGAAACTGACATTCAGAGGTTGAACAAAGCTGGATTCCAGGTGCCCAGGCCACACGTAACACTAAGTAACTCCTGATTCCAGCCTCTCTCCAGTCTTGGATTCATCTGCCCCCACCTGTCTGAACTGAAGGTTTAAATCAGTCAGAAGACACCCCACCCCCTCCCCCAGGCTTAGCGTGCTATGCGTGACTCCTGCCCTGTGGTTCTTGGCGGGGCTTCTCAGCCGACTCCGCTCTTCTGGAGTTTAAAAGGCACACAAGTCCATTTTAAAACGGTTTTTCTCATTTTATTTGAAACGAAACTGTAACCCATGACAGACGCAGTGATAACATTGCTCCGAAGGGAGCCGGCAGTGACCCCAAGGGGGCCCTCTTGGAGTGTTTAGGATTGTGACTGTGTAAAGTGTGCCAGGGGATTCCTGTTCGGGAGCGTGCAGCGTCGTTAATGTTTCCTGTCCTCTGTTTGCAGAACTGGCGCGATCCACATAGGAGACCGAATCCTCGCCATTAACAGCAGCAGCTTGAAAGGGAAGCCTCTGAGTGAAGCGATCCACTTGTTACAGATGGCGGGGGAAACCGTCACCTTGAAAATCAAGAAACAGACAGATCAAGGTTGGGGGGGCAGGGGGGTGGGGGCATTGGGGAGGGAGAGGACTTCCGTAGCGTTGCTGGCAGACTGGCTCTGACTCTTAACCCCTTTCCTGTCTTTAAAGCCCAGTCAGCGTCAAGCCCCAAGAAGTTCCCCATCGCCAGCCATCTGAGCGACCTGGGGGATGCGGAGGACGACTCCTGCCCCGCTCAGAAACCCGGCAAACTCTGCGACACGTACTCCTCCTCCGCAGTGCCCAGTGTGGACAGTGCCGTCGACTCCTGGGACGGCTCCGGACTGGACGCCAGCTACGGGAGCCAAGGTACGCCCCCGCCTCGGGAGTGGGAGACGGAGGATTTGCCCTGGATGCAGCCCATGCTCCTCCGAGGTCCACCCTCTGCCCCGAGGAGGCGGCCGCCTCTACTTATTTAACTGTGTCGACAGCAGAGCACTCCATTAAATGTACCAAATTCTCTTACTCACTCAGCCGGCTTTGCGTTTCCTTCTTAACGTTGAAGTAGGAGCCCTCAGGGCAGCGGTTCTCAACCTGCGGGTCACGACTCTTTTGGGGGTCGAACGACCCTTTCACGGGGGTAAACTGAGACCATCGGAAAACATAAATAGTTCACAATCTATAATTACAGAGAGTTGGGTGATGAATCACTATGCTTTAATTATGTTCAATTTGTAGCAATGAAAATAGATCCAGCATGTCAGATAGTTACATGATGATTCATAACAGTAACAAAATTACAGTTTTGAAGTAGGAATGAAAATAATTGTATGGTTGGGGCTCACCACCACATGAGGAACTGTTATCAAGGGGTCGCCATGCATTAGGAGAGTTGAGAACCACTGCCTCTGGGCATAAAGCAGCCCTCGAGGTTTGCACTGGAAAATGGACAGCTGCTTCTTTGGGGGAAAGATGGGCCTTTTTACTCCTCTAAGAGTTACAGTCTCAGAAACCCACGGAGGCAACTCTATCCTGCCCTATAGGGTCACTATGAGTCAGAATGGGCTCGAAGGCAGTGAATTCTGATTTTGGAATGTTGCCATGTGAACATTTATCAAACATAAACAGGCCCCTGTAAGAACCACTGGTGGCCAAATGTTCAGTACATCGCTTGTCCTCCAGCCCTAGGACCATATGAGGCCAACCATACAGTCTAGTGCTTTCCTGAGCAGGGTCCCCATTGCTTTCTCTTCTGAAGAGCCCTGGTAGTGTAGAAGTTACCATTGGGCTGCTAGCTACAAGGTCAACAGTATGAATCCAGCAGCTGCTCCTCGGGAGAAAGGCAGGGTTTTCTCCTCCCATAAAGAGTTACAGCCTGGAAAACGCACAGGGCAGTTCAGCCCCCGTCCTACAGGGTCACCCTGAGTCGGCATCGGCTGCATGATTGTGAGTTTGGCTTTTGAGTCTTGACAAAGACAGATTGGGGAGTGCTGAAGACAGGCATGCACAAAAGATTGGCTGATGATTTGTGACCTGATGTATTGCTGCCCCTTCCTGATTTTAAATCGAAATGTGTAGGGTTTTCCCCAGGTCATCATCATTAAAGAGTTGTAATCATAATTTAGCATAGAGAGTCGATTGTTCTTCACAGACACATCTTCATATGAAGAGCATAAAGCCAACCTCCATTAAAGCTCTCCCTTCCTTCCCAGGATGTAAACTTGTGAGAACGTCCAACTGTGTGCGCTTGAGAAATGCCGCCAGGTCGTAGACTTCCAAATGTTAAAGCAGCAAATCTTGGGTATATTTGACCACCATTAAAAGATACAGTGTTGACAGAGCCCAGTGCAAACACCAAAAGCTTTGAAAATACAAACTTTCTTTCCCAGAATTATTCAGCATAAAAAAAGAAATGTGCCAAAGAGTTTCACAATTTCTTTGTACTTCTTCTCCTCCAAGTTTGACTCCATAATGCCTTGTCTGAGTTTAAGAGGGAATACCCCCAAAATGGAATTCCCCCCAAAAGCTATGTATGTAAATTCTTTTACAAAACAACCTTATCACCTTCAAATGACTCTCCATTACACTTGAAACATTTGTCAAATCTGCAATTCCATTCATGGAAACGTTTTTCAAACTCATCTGTTTGGATGAATGACCGCACCTCCTGCGTTTTTTTTCTTCACCTCTTTTACGCCTTCAAATCGCTGTCCTTTCATGTTCCTCTTCATTCTGAGAAACAAAAAGAAGCCGCACAGAGTGAGGTCAGGTGAGTGAGGTGTGTGGAGCAAGAGAGGCATGCTGTTTTTTGCCAAAAACTGGCGCACTGAGATGGCTGCATGAGCAGGTACATTGTTGTGGTGGAAAAACCAGTCCCCCATCTGCCACAAATCAGACTTTTTTTAAATCACACACTGTTAAACAATCTTTTCAGAACCTCTAAATAGAAAGTTTGATTAACAGTTAGACCTGATGGAACGAACTCCAAATGCACTACGAGTGGACATGTTCATCCATTCGGGAAGTTGATGGAAGTCCAGAACAAAGTTTTTCATCAATCAACAATTTACCTTTTTTTTAAATGAGAAAACCACTCAGACGCTTGGGTTTTTCCTTAGTGCTGTCCTTGTAAGCTGTGTTCAACATCACAACTGTTTCTGTGAATTTTTCCTGAGCAAGAAACAAAATTTCACAGCTGCATGCTACTCTCCTAAATCAACCAGCATAAAAAATTAGGTTCAAATGAAATTACTTTTATGAAAAAATTCACTGTGACCAATGAGAACCTTCCCAGGTGATGCCACTGGGTACACTAACTCAGAGTGAGTTGCTCGATGCTCGCCTAGCAGGAAAAATGTGTACTACTTTTACTGTTCTCAAAGCAATGCACTTCCGGCTTTGAGGTGGGGGTGTACCCTGGGGGTACCCCCTCATCATTCCCACTCCCCAGAAACCTTTTGTGCTATGAGTTTTGTCAAATCAGATTCCCACTCCCTAGAAACATTTTGCTTAAGAATAAAACACAGAAGTAAACAGTGTGGAGCATGCATGTTTCGGCATGCGAATTGCTTTTAGGAGACTTGTGTCAGTTAGCACCCTTCCGTGTCCTGGCTTCCTCTCTCGGTCTGCCTTTGTCTTCAGCACTCTCTGCTAGGTCTCTGGGAGAGTGCGGGAAACCTGAAAGGCGGTGATCCTTCAGAGGCACCAAGGTGGGACTTGCTAGATGTTATACTGGGTCTGGTAGAGAAAATATTTTAACCATCTAAAATGATTTGTCTCCTTAAGTTATCTGGAGTTTAATTTTTCTAAGTCATAAATACCTTGTGATAACTTGACTATGCCTGCAAATGACTCACCCTCTCTTTGTCTGGAAGTTGATGGTCCACCAGAGGACATTCAGGATAAAGGGTACCACAAATCAAATCTTATCAGAATGGCTAGCCTCTCAGAAGTTATTGAAATTCTGTCTCTTTATAAAATGAATTGATGGTTACTTGAAACGTGGAGGCTTGTTGTTACACAGAGTTTTTGGTACTGTTGCTGTTTTAATTCTTTACTGTGCTTGGGTGAAGGTTTACAGAGCGGATCTGTTTTCCTTTCAACCGTTCACTCGCATTTTGTTTCATGTCATGGATTGCAGCCCCACAATGTAACTTCACTTGTCACAGTGGTTCTCAGCCTTCCTTATGCCGTGACCCTTTAGTACAGTTCCTCATGTTGTGGTGACATCAAATTATTTTCGTTGCTATTTCATAACTGCAATTTTGCTACTGTTATGAATCGGGCAACCCCTGGGAAAGGGTCATTCGACCCCCAAAGGTGTTGCGACCCACAGGTTGAGAACTGCTGACTTACTACATTTCCTCTCTGTTTCCTGTTTCCATACCTCCTCCTTTCCTCAAACTTCTGAACTCTGTCCTTGGGTCAAAGCTGCCCTTTTAATCTCAAAGGTTGATTATCCTAATGTGTGTATGCCTCCCTGCTGTTGATTTTTTCCCTTATAGACCTGTCTATTGCTTGGCTGAAAATTGAGCCTTGGGAGTGAGTGTATTTCCAGACCTGGAGGGTGACAAAGGGCCAGAGTTCCATCAGTCTCTCTACAACAAGTAAACCGGGTTTTACTTGGGGGTTTTGTTTGTTTTTAATGATATTTGCATTTTATTCGACTTGTCCCTCCCCCTCTCTTCAAGATTTTCTAATGGGATCTCCTTGAGGGAAGCTGGTAGTCGTAGCTGGGCACCACCAGTTCTTCTAGTGTCGGAGCTGTGGAAACTGATGTTTATGTGAACGAGTACGCAGATGGACTAATTACATAAGAGTATCTTGTTTCATTGTTTGTTTTTGCTTTGCTATGTGTTGATTTTTTTGTGATGTGTAAGACCTTAGCCTACTCAATGCCTTCATACCATAAGATCCGGGCCACTATTAGCATATTAAATATAGGAACTTTCCCCTCATTGGTAAAATAATAAAGACCCTTTTCTTTTTATGGAGTATTTTTGAAAATGTTGGCACTTACAAATGAGAAATCTTTAAGAGGTTGAAGAGAAGTCAGTAGAGATAATCGGACACACAATGTGAATAGAAGAGAAGTAATATCATTTATTTGTAAAACATTTCAGAGTTTACCCAGAACGTTCACGAAGGGAATCTCAAATAATCTCATAACCAATATGAAAGTCAAAGGGCCAGTGTTAATCACAGAATCTTGACAATGGAAGGGGCTTTTTTTTAAAATCATTTTATTAGGGGCTCATACAACTCTTATCACAATCCATACATACATCAAGTGTGTAAAGCACATTTGTACATTCATTGCCCTCATCATTCTCAAAACATTTCCTCTCCACTTAAGCCCCCGGCATTAGGTCCTCATTTTTCCCCTCCCTTCCCCCTCCCCCCTCCCTCATGAGCCCTTGATAATTTATAAATTGTTATTTTGTCATATCTTGTCCTGTCCGACGTCTCCCTTCACCCACTTTTCTCTTGTCCGTCCCCCAGGGAGGAGGTCACATATAGTTCCTTGTAATCGGTTCCCTCTTTCCTACCCACTCTCCCTCTACCCTCCCAGTATCGCCACTCACACCACTGGTCCTGAAGGGATCATCCATCCATACAGTTCCTGTCTGTACCAGTGTACCTCCTCTGGTCTAGCCAGACTTGCAAGATAAAATTCCTGTCATGATAGTGGGAGCGGGGAGGAAACATTTAGGAACTAGAGGAAAGTTGTATTTTTCATCGTTGCTACATCGCATCCTGACTGGCCCATCTCCTCCCCGAGACCCCTCTGCAAGGGGATCTTCAGTGGCCTACTCATGGGCTTTGGGTCTCCACTCTGCCCTCCCCCCATCATTCACTATGGTAAGATT